TCAGCAGACACACCTGAGTGAGGACTTCCTCATGCCCACTCCCTCCCTCTGCCCCTCCCTATAAAATCTCAGGTCTTCACCTGTATCCTTGAGCTATGCTGAAATGGAAATTATAAAATACCTAGACGTTCCTAGGAAGAGTGACATCAGCTTGCCAGAATTTGGTGGACAGTGTCTGAACTGTCTTCACTTATAATCTAGGTGCTAATTTTCTTTTCTTTCTCTCTCTATCTCTCTCTCTCTGTCTCTTTTTTTTTTTTTTTTTTGAAGGCTGTTGGGGTTAAGTGACTTGCCCAGAGTCTCACAGCTAGTAAGTGTCAGAGGCTAGATTTGAAGTTGGGTCCTCCTGACTCCAGGGCTGGTGCTCTATCCACTGCACTGCCCAGCTGCCCCTTGTGCTAATTTTCTTACTCCCATGCAAACTGTGCTTCTGTTGTTAGGAACACGAAGCCAGGAAGGAGTAGATGGCGCTGGCCACAGGCATTACTTTGGAGGCCCTTAGACTTGGCCATAAAATAGATAAGGGGAGTCCCCAGCAAATGGCTAAGAAGGGGCTGGGCAGCAGTCCAGCAGGGTTGAACTGGAGACCCTGCAGTGGGAGCTCTTTGTGGTAATTCAAGTCCCCTTACTTACCTTGGCATCCAGCTAGTGAGTCCTAGAGCTGGGAGTGATGAATGACGCCTTCCAGCCATGGTGATTTTTTTAAAAAAAGACAGAACTTATTCTCTAATCCCATTTTCCCACTCTGTTTTTCCTGAATCTCTTCTGCCTTTCCTTTGGTACCAGGAGTGGCTTGGTCTCACTGTCATCTGATGTCACAGATCAAGGAGTCGCCAGCCATTATTTATGCCACTAAAATATGTCCTGCTCATGAGGCATTTTGAGAGAACATTTTGAACAGACTCATTGCCATTTTAGAATAATTGGTGGATTTAATTTAAGCAAACCTAGACTTGTCAAATAGCCAGGGATGATTGGTTATTCACCTTATAGAAGGACTTAATAACCTGATCCATAAGATTCACCGGAAGATTCCTTTAATAGGCTACTTAAGTCATTCATTTTATTTTTAAATTTGAGACAGCTTTTTGGTATATACCAATTGTGTAAGGCCAAGTATTTCTGTAAAATTGAAAGTGCAGTTGGGTGTGTGAGGTGGTTAAATCCTAGTGCCTCACTTCATGGAGCCCCTTTGGTGGCCACAGAGAATTGTCCCAGTTTATTGAAATTGATGCTAAATCCATAAAGTGTTTCTAGTCTCCTCATTCGGTGATTTCTAGGGTCCAAGGATTACCAGCTGGTCACCTGGTCCCGGGATCAAACCCTGCGGATGTGGCGAGTGGATTCGCAGCTGCAGAGGGTAGGTATTAAGTGCTTTGAGTGATATTGAATGAATTGTATATACCTTGTGCTAGAACCTTTAAAAAAAATTCTAGAGCTTATATTTTTGCAGTTCAGAAGATGATTCAGAGGTTCTTGATTAAAAACTTGTTTGATTGACTGACCTGTATACGCCTATAGCAAGACCAGACATAGGAGAATGTGTCCTTGGAGAGGTCTAAGACTTTCAGTATTTGTAGAGCGACGACCTCCAGTTGTCCAAAGTGCTCCTACCATTTACACTCTTTTGAAGCCTTTTTTTTCCTTGCTGTACTCTCATTCTGATTTGTGAGGCCTTGAGAGATACCTCAAGAGCTGCTGAGTGGCCATGGTGTCTGAGGAATCCCAGAGAGCCTGAGAAGCTCCCAAATGGTCATCTTAATGTTACGGTGTGAATGTGAGGGAGTTCATGACTTTGGCTACAATCCTGTAGCTTCCCCAGTTTTCTGTGCTTCCAGAAGCATCTGCACTTGAGAGTCTTTGGGTCTTGGTAGTCCTGTTTCATGTGAAGTGCCAGCTTCCCCAGCTTTTTTAGGCTAAGAATCACAGCCTTATGTCCTCTCTTCTGAGCCCGAGTCTGTCTTCTCAGAAAGTAACACACTGCTTGGCACATACATGATCAGTGCTTTTAGTAAATTCTTTTTCATTCATTCAAAGTGTGTTTCATATACTTAAAATTTACATGGAAGTTTGTATTTCCTTTCCCAACTGAATAAGCCTGTGGAACCAAGAAGACTTTTTTTGGTCTGTCCATCAACCATGAAGATGCTCTTTATATTCTGATCTAGCCATCTTTCTTGCCCAGTGTCTTTAACAGGGAGACTTGGAATTGGGTACAATTGATCATGATAGCAGTCCTTAACTGATCACATCTGTATACCACGACCACCTGCTCCCATATACTTTTCACCAAAGACAGATTGTTTTCCCCTTTCTGCTGTGTAGATTATAATAGACCTGACTGATACCCATAGACTCTTGTTAAGGAAGTATGCATGCCTCCCTGTGTTTCAGCTCTGTGCGAATGATATCCTGGATGGTGTTGACGAGTTCATTGAGAGTATTTCTCTTCTACCAGAACCTGAGAAGACCCTCCACACCCAAGATTCAGATCCCCAGCCTAGCTCAGGCCATGGGGAGGAGGAAGGTAATCTGGCTGTCATGTTCTTGAGGTGATGTGACTTTCCCAGGGTTTGTAATTGACCCAGTGACAGAGCTAAGTAGCAAGTTGGAGTTACATGATTAAGACTTGCCTGGTAGATGCAGAAGCAGCTTTGGCAGAAGTTTGGGATCCGGGGAATTGAAGAGGACTCTTTCCCTTAATTAAGAATTTTGGATGTTGGGGGCATCCCTTTCTGAGAAGACTTTAAAAATACAAAATCATAGGATTTAGATCTGGGATAACTCCCTTATTTCACAGGCTGCTGTTAGGGAGGAGATTCAGTTCCTTTCTTTTGTGTAGGGTTCTAGTGTGAGAAATTTGACTTACTAACATTACTTTCTATTTTTAATTTGTAAATCCTTCAGTTACTTTTTGAAACTCAAGCTGGCTTGTGTTTGCCATTCAGTTTTTGTAGCTTGTTATAACCTGAAAGTGCTTATTCATCTTACTGTATTTATGCTATGTGTGGAGGCAATAATAAGAATTAAAAAGATTTCAATTTTCTTCAGTAGCAGTTACTGTCACACTCTGGATAATTCCTAGTGCCACTCAGGGACACTTGACTTTTCTTCACCTTGCCTCATCTCTTAACCTAGGCTCCCCAGGCTTAGTGTTTTTAAGGCACCTAGGACATAAAAATGGTTAAGAGGCTATAAGGGGTATCCATGTGGACTAGGTGCAGTTTCCTCTCTAGTCACCTACATCTGCTCTCCTTTGAAATAGGGGCAGCTTCCAGGCAGTGCAGCATCCATTGTGCCCCATAATAAGACAGAGACATCGCTGTCACCAGTGAGGAAAGAACCCTGAAGGATCAGTGCCTGAGGACTAGCGTGGTGCTTTTTTCAGAGTTGTTTCTTGGGGCACACCATGAATGGTGACCTGGACTAATCATGCCTAGCTCTTGTTGACCTCAGAAAAGGCCTCTTCCACAAGATTGGAGGGTTTTAAATGTCTCAAGTCTCAGCTGAGGTTGTGGACTTCTGTTCTTCTCTTTAGCTGGTTGCTGGGAAGCTACAGTTGCTTCAGAGCTGATGTCTCTGGCACATTTCCAGAAGTGATTTTTAGCAAGTAACCTTTTCTCTCTCCTGCCAGCTTCAAAGGAAGGCTCACCTAACAACCTCCTGATGGGGAAGAAATCGGAACAGTTGGGGTTGCCCCAGACGCTACAACAAGAGTTCTCCCTGATCAACGTGCAGATCCGGAATGTTAATGTCGAGGTAGTAGCAATTTAAGAAACTGGACCCTCTAACGTGGGCAGCCGCAGGAGGGTATATTCCAGGTGTGGATTCCCAGATGGTTTGGTACTCTGAAGCCCCAGTGGTTTTCTTTTGTTCCCTAGAGTACCCACAGTTTAGCTGGGATTAGGCTAAGTGAAGGAGGGTCACCCCTTATTCAACTCTTGAGCTGAAACCTAGAGTGCTACCTTGGCACCTTTGCATTTTTAGAACTGAAGGAGTTTTCCCTCAGAGATTATTTTCAGAGAGTCAGACCTTTCCATTTTATGTATAGGGAAGCTGAGGCCCAGAAAAGTGAGATGGATTGTCAGATCCTCTGGGCTCGTTAGTGTGGAAGAGCTCTTAGCTGCTTGGACTCCTCCTCACGCTGTCCCACTCGGTAGCCTAGGTGAAGTCTCGTTGACCAGGGTTCGTCAGAGGTGTGATCCCTGACTATTTGAAGAGTGCTATTGTCTTCCCTTCCCCCTTCCTCCCATCTTGCTTTTTTGGCAGGTGATATTAATGAACTCTTCGACTCAAAGAATCAGGATTTCCCTCCCACAGGGAGGGAGCATTAACGCAGGATATCCTGAGAGTTGAGGGGAGCAGATGAAGAATCTTCAGGAGGTCACTGACCTCTCTGTCCTATCTAGCAGGAGCTTTGGAGCTGGAGGCACCCTTCCTTAGTCATTCAGTTATCCTTACCTACTTCCTCTCTTCTTTTTCTCCTGCTGAGAAGCAGTGCAGACGTGTAAGGCTTTGCCTGAAAATAAACGGACCTGACTTCTCTTCCCAAGTGACCCTTGTGTCTAGAGGCAAACCACTTAACCTTTTAATGCCTTGTTTTCCTCACTTGAAAATAAGTATAGTATATCATGTTCTGCTTTGTGGAATCTGAGCGAAATAAATTTTCAGTGACATTAAAACACAAAGGTGCTATCATAAATGTAAAGTAAATCTACTTTGGGGGTATTGGCTAAATCACCTAGACACTGGAGGTCTAGGTTTAACTTCTGTTTCCATAAAAAAAATTTTTTTGTGCTTTTTGCTGAGGCAGTCAGGGTTAAGTAACTTGGCCAAGGTCACATAGCTAGTGAGTGTAATGTGTCTGAGGCCAGATTTGAACTCAGGTCCTCCTGACTCCAGGGCCAGTGCTCTGTCCACTGCACCACCTCGCTGCCCCAGTTTCTGTAAATTTTAAAGGCCCTTTGAGATCTGATTCAAAAGCAGTTGATTTGCCTCTTACAGATGGATGCTGTCGATCGAAGCTGCACAGTATCTGTTCACTGCAGTAACCATCGAGTCAAAATGCTGGTGAAGTTCCCAGCCCAGTACCCTAATAATGCTGCACCTTCTTTCCAGTTCATTAACCCTACAACTATCACATCCACCATGAAAGCAAAACTTCTAAAGGTGGGTATCTTAGGTTAAGAAATGAAGCCTCCTAACATCCACAGGTTGAGGAGTGGGAGTTTCCTGTTTTTTATCTCCTGTGTTAACTGAGTGAAACTCTTGAGTGCACCTTACAGCTCCAGTTCTCCTTCCCTTCCCACCCAGTCCTTCTAAGAGTCTCACAGCAGAAGTAAATAATTGTTTGTCCGGGAAGGGGAGTTCCTGGGCATTGCCATTCATGAATCCCAGTCAAGTCAACAAACAGGTATTAAGTGCCTACAGTTTGCCTGAGCCTGTGCTAAATGTTGTGGACGCAGAACAGAAGGCAGGGATTTCCTGGACAGCGTAATCCCAGCATCTCACCTTTTAGTCAGAGAAGGGGGACTCCTTAGATAGCACCAGCATTAGGGGTGGCCTTCAAGAGTTTGGATAGAAGGTCTTCTGTCAAGAAAAGGGAAAGGTCCTGATCAGTGTGCTTCTTGCAAAGAAAAAAGCTTCACACAGCCCAGGGCTAGGAGGAGACTAAATCGAGGGACTAAAATTGTAATATGGAGGAACCAGGGCCCTGTACCTTGTAGAAAGCCAAGTCACTCCCTGGACTGTCAAACTTTCATCTACTTAGGAACTCTAGTGTATTTCCTTTTCATGGGAAGTCTAAACCACAGGGTGAAGCTATAGTTTGGGGGTGTGAGGTAGGAGGGGAAGGAAGGAACCACACAAGTATCTGTGAAATGAAGGATTTGCTGGAACATTGGGAGAATTACCCTCCTGACAGCTCCCGAGTTCAGCCTGAATTAGTGCTAAATATGGAGGATTTTAGGACCTAAGTGGAAAAGTAGGAATCACCAGAGAGAGTATTGTGCTGATTGCTTGTAGACTCTCATGTGTCCTTTATTTTCTGCATGGTCTCCTCTGAGTCTTTTGCATTTTCTGTGGGGTGCTTGTGTGGGAGCTGTGGAACCCCTTTTACTCATATAGTACTCACACTCATAGACCTAGATATGAGCTAAATTTGGAGATTTTCCCAATAGAAGTTCTGGGTAGGGCCAATACAAAACAAAGAGAAAGTGATCTTTGGGGCCGTTCCCCGATCTTCCCCTCCTGTATGAGGTCAGGGCCTGGGTGGCTCGGCGACAGGTAAAATAGCCATGTCTAGAAGATGAAAGCAAGGGCCAGTAAAGGATCCTGAAGCACAGCATAGTTCTGTAGGAATTGTGTCAGAAGCAGGTCCGCTCGGAATGAGATGCGAGGCTGGGGCGGGGGGAGAAGAAAAATGGAAGTGGGAAGTCAGGAGTTAGGCTATATTGGGGAGAAGTGGGAAATCGGATAAGGTCATGGGTGAAGCGATACTTGAAAATGGAGAGATCACAGAACTGTTCCTTTTTGATTGTTTCTGTTTGCCAAGGAGAGTGAGGTCTGGAGTAGAGAAGAGAGAACTAAATTGGTTAGTAAGGAGGTGAAAGCAGAGATGAATAGTAAGAGAGTGTCAGGATACCTTTGAAGAGTTCCAGCAATAGACCCAGGTCATTGGCATCACAGGGTCCTGGAAAAAGGTGCAGAGGTGATTGCAGAGTCTCTCAGTGATCTGTCACAGATCATAGAGAAGGGGAGAGATGCCACAGCACGGAGAAGGGAAAATAGGCTGGTTTTCTTTTTAAAAAGTTGGGAAATGCAGAGCTAACACGTCGAATAATAGCATACAGAAGTAACTCTCACAGGCTATAATGTTGGGCTGTATTTCATAAGATGACATTTAATTGAGGTAAATGTAAAGTCATATTTGTTCAAAAATCAACTTCCCAGGTGTAAGACAGGAGGTATGGCTAAGCACATAGTAATTGCTCTGGGAGTTTTAGGATTAGTAAATTAACAGTATGGCAGAGAGCTCCTGCACTCTTAGGCTGCATTCTTAGAGGCCTGGTCTCTGGACCTGGGCAGCGATAGGTCTGCTGCACTCTGCTTATCTAGTCAGACAGTTCTGGACCCCAAGCTTTAGGAAGGGCATTGGTAGGCTGGCGAAGCTCCCAAGGAGGGCAGCCAGGATGGTGAAAGGTGTTGAGATGGCACTGGATGAGAATGGGCTGAAGAAGCGATGATTTGGTGGGGCCACGGTCACTGTGATAACATGTATGAAAGGCTTCCACATCAGGTAAAAGTGGCATTAAAATGACGGTGATGGCTAAAATTTGTATTTGTTATAATACAACACTCACTATGTGTCAGGCCACTGTGCTAAGTGCTTTACAAATATGATCTCAACACCTTGGGTGGTAGGTGCTATTATTAACGACATTTTACAGGTGAGGAAACTGAGGCCAACGGAAGTTTATTGACATGCCCGTTGTCACCCAGCTAGTCAGGGTTTGGGGCTGGATTTGAACTGAGGCTTTCCTGAGGTTCTATCCACTGCACCACCAGCTGCCTCAAGATTTGTTCTGCTTGGCCCCAAGAGAGCAGAGCTGAGAGGTGTACCCTGAGGAAGGCTCTGGCAACCAGAACTAACCAAAGGTAGCCTGGGCTGTGTCAGGAAGTAGAGAGCGCCCCATCACTGGAGGTCTGTAACCAAGCCTGGATGGCCTATGGCCAGGGACTTCTTTGTTCAGAAAGAACCCAGCTGAAGGATCCGAGACCTCCTGTCCTTTGATGTGTGAACACGAGCTTACTGCTGGTCTCTCGATGCTTTTTCAGATTCTAAAAGACACCTCCCTGCAGAAAGTGAAACGTAACCAAAGTTGTTTGGAGCCCTGCTTGCGCCAGCTTGTCTCCTGCCTCGAATCCTTTGTGGTAAGAAGAGCACCCTGGACCAGCACCTTCCTGATGAGCTGATGCCCACTTATACAGCAGGGCACCTTCATTCACAGTCTTTAAAGGAGTTTTACCAAATATATTAACATACAGATCTGTATTTCAGAACCAAGAAGACAGCACGTCCAGCAATCCCTATGCTCTCCCAAACGCCGTCACTCCACCCTTACCCACCTTTGCCCGGGTGACCAGCGCCTACGGATCCTACCAAGATGCCAACATCCCCTTTCCTCGGACCTCGGGAGCCAGGTTCTGTGGAGCAGGTCTGTTCCTTTGTGGCCCGGTGTGCCCAAAGTCTCAGATTGAGAACAGTCATCAAGTGTGCGTCTGCTTGACTATACTACCTGACTCCTCCACAGAGATTGGCGTTGGATTCTGAATTTTGTAACTGACTCTGATTCTAAGAGTCTTTAGAGAAAGCACCAGAAAGTTATTCGTTAGGAATGGCTTTGAGCATGTGATGATGTGCTCATTCTGTGAATTGCCATTTAAAAATCTAGTTGACTTCTAAGTTATTAATTGGAATGGATTTTAGAGGTACAGAGCAATGGCTGGCCTATGATAGCTGTGCTTCTTTCTTATATTTAACTTACTCCGTTTTCTGTAGTGGGCGCACTGTGTTATAATTCCATTTGGCGAAAGTAATTCAAGAAGGATGTTTGGTTATTTGTAAGTTACCCACAAATTGCCGGGCTTGGAAGCCCCGTGCTCTGGGAGAGGTGCTTGTCCAGAGTGGCAGATCTTAGGATGCATTTTAAGAACTAGCAACTGCAAGCTTGTGGAAGTATTTTAGACTGTCTTCAGAGGCCTTAGCACAGTTGGGCAGCAGAAGGCCTAAAGCATGCAATAGCCTAAGAGCCAGAAGAACACAAGAAATGACCACATGATGATTTTGTCCCACATGTTGGACATGTGTCCTCAAAGCAGGGGTTCAGGAAGCATTTCAAACCTGCTCGTTTTCTACCAGCATCCTTCTCATGGTTCTCTCTCTGTTTTGAACTGGTGAAATTTTTGGTTTCATCATCACTAACCTAGAATTACTCTTTTTCTATTCTGTGAGAACTCAGTAACTTTCCCAGTTGTCTGTCAGTGTTTAAACTGACCAGTTCCCAGTCCTGAATTGTGGTCCCTCTGGAAATAGCAATAGAACATTCACCAGAGCTTTTGTTTTTCTAGCATGGTGAGGGTGTGTGGGAGCAGTGCTTTACTTATGGTTTTCCATGTTCAGCTTCAGTGATATCACCTGATTTGTTTGGTATTATCTCCTTTCTTCAGGTTACCTGGTGTATTTCACAAGACCTATGACAATGCATCGGGCAGTTTCTCCGACAGAACCTACTCCTAGGTGTGTTTGGAAAGCTACGCAAGAGGTCTGTGCTTGTAAGACCCAAAAGCAGTTGGGCTGTCCATAGGAGCTACCAGGAATGCACTGCTGACTTTGGGGCAGTGAAATGAATGAATATTTTTGATGAACTCAGTTTCTCTCTTCTGTTCAGGAAGGAGTCAGCCACCATTGTTTCTACAGACAAACTGACCTTTGTTGTGTTAGTTCACTGCCAAACATGTAGAAGGAAAAGCTTAGTAAAAGCAATGGTTAAATCAGATCAAGTCTTAAGTTAGGAGAACTTTTGCATTTCAGCAGCTTGGGAATGATACCAGAAACCCCTGAAATTATATCCAC